AGAGAGAGAGAGAGAGAGAGAGAGAGAGAGAGAGAGAGAGAGAGAGAGAGAGAGAGAGAGAGAGAGAGGGGCTGAGCGATACAAGACTGGTTACCACGTACCTGCACTGAAGATCGTTGTGTGGTCCAAGAGAAAGTAGCGGCCATAGCCGCGGAGCTCGGGACACGGAGGAGAGAGGGAGGTGAAGTATAGACGAGGGAGGAGACATAGAGGAGGAAGCAGGAAGGAGGGAAAACGAAGGTGAAGATAGACATAGCCGTGGGTGAACCAAAAAAAAAAAAGAAATACGGCGAGGACGAAGAAAGGTGAAAGGAGGAGGAAGAAAGAAGAGGTTGGCGGGGAAGAAGGTGCCGGCAGCCATAGCCGACAGAGGGTTGACTGGGCGTTGACCAGAGGGTTGACCGGGTGTTGACCAGAGGGTTGACCGGGTGTTGACCAGAGGGTTGACCGGGCGTTGACCAGAGGGTTGACCGAGCGTTGGCCGGAGCTGCCGACCATGACTTTGACCAAGCTGGAGTTGGTATAATCTCGCCAAGCCCTTAGCCTATCCCCCCGCCCTATGGATGTGAACTCACCGTATGGTACTCGCTAAGTATGAGTCTGTTTGTCTCTTCTTTCTGCATTTGAGTCTCTTCTGTCCAAGTGATAGGACTCCGTGTATGAAGGATAGGGCCTCGTTGACCAAACCCCTGCCGGGCTGAGTAGGGCTAAAGGCTGTGTCTGACGACTCGACTGTCCCGGAGGACATGAACCCTCCCAAGGACGGGCTGCTCGGTGTGGCACGGTAGGCCCGAAATCTGAGCTGTGGACTGCACAACGGGCCGTCTACGTTTTGAGAGAACCTGCTGATCGCGTCGTCCTGTCTGCGACGTTAAAGAATTATTGAGGAGTTACGGGGGATCTCCTTAAATGCCTCCTGATCAGCAACAGGTTCTGTAGTGACGGCTGTAGTTTAGAGTCTAGGCTAGTGCCCCTAGTTGACAGGGTCTGAACCGGAGTGAAATTCAGGTGGGTTTGACTGCAGGTGCTGGGCATCTGGGTCTGGATTGCAAGGACTGTGGCTGCGAAAGCTTCCGTCGGCCGTGGTAATCTGGCTGGAACGAAGGGTAAGATTTTGTAGTCCATAGAGAGTCAGTCAGTCTTAAGTTAAGTAGGGGGGATGTCTAAGTGGTGAGGAGTGGAACCATTACTTGGTTGTGCATCTATCACCATGGTTGACACGCGTACCGGAAAGAGCACTTCCCCTTACACAGCTGAAGAGGAGGCAAAGGCCGCCGCCATCCTCAAAGAGAGAAGAGAGAAGAAGGAAGCCAAGAAAAAGGCCTTGATCGAGGAACAGGCGGCGAAGTTCAGAAAGATTGAGGAGGAGATGGCCCGAGAGAAGGAGAGGCTAAAGAAAAAAGAGGAAGAGAAGTTAAAGGCGGTGGACGAGGAGGATGAACAAGAGGTACCACTGGAAAGAAGAAGAAGGGAGCAAAGAGGGGAATCCAGTGGTACACAAACTGATCAGTTGGAGAAGAAGATTTCAGAGTGGGTGGCCAATTTGTCCCTGGGAGAAGACGAGGAAGCAATTATGTA